GTGGCACTAGATGACTGATATGCAAACAAGTTTGCCCTTCTTAATAGTACGGCCATCTATCCTAAACCCGGTCATAAACTTCTCTACACACCTATGACTAGTGAAATAAAATGCCCTACAAATATACCTTTGCCTTGCGCATTCCATTCCATCTCCTTTGATGTTGATGCAACACATGCACCAACCTTGATCAACAATTGATATGATCCACTTCATCTCATCACATGACCATATTGGTTCATCGATCTTGACCTTACTTGCTTTTCACCATTGCCTCGGTCCATTGGCGCCAAGTCCTCGACTTGCCCTTCACTCTTGCAACCGGTCCATCAAGCCAAGCATTGTCTTGATCTTCTCCACCTTAGTCACATGAGTCCATGTCATGTCTCATATGCAGTGAGTTCCTTCATCACATGTGTGAGCCTTGCAACATATCCAAGCCATTTCTACCTCCATAGCATGTGTTGCTCACACAAGTGTTCCTATGAACTAATCACCCGTGTATTTCACTTAAACACATATTAGTCCACCTAGGTTGTCACTCAATTACCAAAACCAAACAAGGACCTTTCAGCCATAGCTGAGGTTGAGCACCTTGGGGATGTGTTGCCCTTGTATGTGCTTAACTTTGAGCCCTCTAACTCACTTGTGATCGATATGATTCATCTCCGATAGTGAGTGTGCGATTCGTAGTGCGTTGCACTACGAGGTTGCATCGAGTGGCACTAGGAGATCGAGTTGCAAGCTGGTGGTGCTTATTACTCTTGGAGGTTGCCACCATCTAGATGGCTTGGTGGCGTGTCTCCATCGTGAAGCCCGCAAGAAGCTTGTGCGGTGCTCCGGAGAAGTGATTATGAGGGGTGTTGTGCTCGCCCCGCGGGAGCCGTGAAGAGAAACTCTATAGTAGAGCGAGATGCGAAGGATGACAAGTGGTCCGGCCGTATCAAAGTGCTAGAGGTTGTGGTAAGCACTCCACGTGGGAGAGTGTGATTTGCATGTCACCACTAGCAAGAGGACCGACGACAACATTGGAGCTTGTCTCAACAAGGATTAAGTGGTTGGCAAACCATCAAACCTCGGGATAAAAAACACCGTGTCAATATTGTTCATCCCGTTGGTTTGCAATCTACATACACAAGCTTGTATTTATTCATTGATTTATATTGTGCTAGTGTTGTTGCTCTTGTAACTAGTTTAGCTTGAGTAGCTTGCTAGTTGCCCTCTTTACTTGTGTAGCTTAGAAGTAGCTCCCTTGCGTAACTAGTTGGCTTGAGTAGCCTTGCTAGTTACATTGCCTAGCTTGTGTAGCTAAGTAATTTGAGCTCTCTAATTTGACTTGTGTAGCCTTGTTTTTTAGCATTGCTAGTGAGCTTACGCTTTGTTCTTTAGCATGCTAGCATGTGTAGGAGCTCCCCGGTTGTTTGAGTACTAGTTGCATAGGTTTGTGTAACATTGCTAACTAAAATTGTTTAGATGAGCTCTAGCCAGCCTAGCACCTTAATTAGTTTCTTAAATTAGGATCTTTGTAAGTGCTTGAGAATATAGACAGAGGGGGTATAGTCTTGGCTAGACCAATAGTTTTAATTTCGTATTTGTTTCGATTAGCCAGCGTAATTAATTTTTAGAAATGACTATTCACCCACCCTCTAGTCCTCCATCTCGACCCTACAACGGTCGAGGACGATGGTGACACGTGTTGAGATCGTGGAGGAGGCGTAGCGAATACGCTTTTCCAGGGGGTTTGGTTGTTTGGGCCTCAAAACCATCGACGGATGGTTTTCCATGTTTGGGCCTCAAAACCCAGTTGGAGATCGGGATGGTTTTGGAGATGGCACGTGACGTCATCACAAAGCTTGCGTCGAGGCGAAGCAAAGGCATGAAGAGTTTGTGGCCGTCGGATGCACTGATCTCAAGTTGAACCATTTTGCCCCTGGGTTAAGTGGTCTAGCCAAAATCTCTAAGGGCTTGTTTGGATTATGTAATAGCTTTATAAATACTCTCAGCCATCTCTCCATCTCTCAATTAATGTCTTAAGCTCTCGTTTTCCAGACTAGTTTCCCTAAGTCTGTCTATTGAGATCAGTAGTGTAGAGGATGATACTCTGCTGTGTAATCTTTCCTCTATAAAGAATTAGACCTAGTTGACCTTCAGAAATAAATAAATCATTCTTCGAAAGATCTAAATCTGAGTTCTTGCAGTGTTGGTTTTGAGTTTTCCTTCTTCGGCTCCCTTCCCTTCTCCATTTCTTTAGATTTTGTGTTCTGGTGCTTTTGGAGATGGTTTGAGGTGTTGGATTCGTGCAAGGACCTAAGATGAACTAATCTGCCAAAGGAATTGTCCAGATTCATCTCGAGCACAAAGATCCACCTTTGGGAAGGATTTCTAGAAAAAAAAACCGTTCTGGACTTTGCTTTTGGGATCGTTTGAGTTTGTTTGAGTTCTGAGTGTTAATGCTCTGAAGATATCCTCTCAACACCCCTAAGAACCCCCTGTAAAGTTTTAGATCGACCGGAGTTGATTTGAACCCTCAGCGAATTTTTCTTGAAAAATTCAGCGGCAGCTCACGCATACCACACTGTCTAGTGTTAATATCGGACTGGTCCGGTCTCCAAACTTTGGAATTTTGATCTAAAATTTGGTGGGTTGTTTCCTCCAGGTGTTGAGAGGCTACGGTTAAAATTTCATAATTTTTTAACACCGTTTGATAGGGTTTTCACCTTTTATCTCAAAGTGACACGTGCTGTCAGGTTCATACCGGACAGGTCTGATATGCACATTGGACCGGTCCGATTTGAACTGTAAAATCAGGATTTTAGCTAATTCTTGCTCGATTTGCTTCCACACCTTCTCCATTGCATTCTCTGAGGCTTCTTGAGTGCATCTGGTCACCTGTTGGCCTGAGTGAGCTCATTTTGGAGAATTTTGGTTTAGGAGCACTTTGGGGTTGATTTGAGACCGTGGCTAAGTTTCTCGCATGAGCGGAGAAATTTTATTTGGCTCCAATTCACCCCATCTGGTCGACTACTCGGTCCTTCATCTTTTCTAAGGCACTGTAAATCTTGATTTACGCAGGCGTTGCAACGGAGGGGGACTGTTTGCCCACCTCCGAAAATCATTTTTGGCGATGTGCACAAACTGTGACTGTAGTAGTGTTTTGTTCCATTTCTTCACTAGTCATTGAGCTAGTGCACTTCTTTTTCTTGCATCCCTGGGATCTTTTATAAATTGTCTAACATATCTTTAATATATATGTTCGTCCTAAGCTTGTGTTGTCATATTAATCGCTGAAACTAAAAGATATAATCATGGGCACATGATCCTTATAACTTTCTCCATCAATGACATAAAATTAGCTTCAATAGTTGACAAAGTAACTATATGCTACAAGTTTTCCCTCTAGGTAACACAAGAACCAAAAAAGCTAAAACACATAGCCGATGAGTGTCTCTCATCAAGATCCAAAGCACAAACAAAATCAGAATAACCAACAACTTGACCAGGATTTTCTTTCTTTTGTGTCTTAGCTCGAGGATACCTTAAGATCCATTGTACTGCTTTCCAATGTTATGTTCCTGACTTTTATATGAAACGACTCACAACACTAACTACAGATGCAAACAAATAGGAGACATCAAACTGTCAGCAACACACATAGAGAGGAGATGGGTTGGGGGAGTTGTTGGTCTTCTGCCTAGCTGGTAGGTTGGGCTAAGGGCCCAGGAAGCAACGAAGGAGGGGAAGAGTGGAAGATGGGCTCAATCACTAGTGTTATTAGTGTGATTGTAACTTTAAACCTACCTTTATGTTGGTTATCTTAGGATTATGTTATTAGTGTGTTAATTTTGTATTGTGTTTCTCTTTCGTATGCCGTTATCCATATAGTTGTGTTGGTTCAAAAGAACATCTGTGGTGCCAACTTGTGTGCAGAGGCACGCCCAATCACTAGTGTCTCAAGATCATTTTTTAGCATGCGTGGGAGCACTAGAAAATAAATGAAGAAAGAATACTTATAAGAACTTTTTTTTTTGCCTATGCACGTTTTAATTAAATGGAAAAAAATACAACACATGATCTTAGTAAAACTAGACTTACGCCTTGTTTAGTTGGACCCCAAAGTCCAAAAAGTTGCTACAGTACTTGTCACATCGAATGTTTGCGGCTCGTGCATGGAGCATTAAATGTAGACGAAAATAAAAACTAATTGCACAGTTTGGTGGGAAATTGCGAGACGAACGTTTTGAGCCTAATTAGTCCATGTTTGAACACTATTTGCCAAATAAAAACGAACGTGCTACAGTAATCCCAAAATCCAAATTCACCCAACTAAACAAGGGCTTACCAAGACCACGATCCTTGCATACGAAATTCAAGGCTGCTATTTGTACAAGAGAGATAAGTCAACATCGTTGACTATTTGGAGCTGCATTTCTTGGGCAGGAAGATAAATGTTAATAAAGAATAGAAAAGAAATCTCATTGATAATTGATTTTTGACTATAAGCTACCAAGTGGGTCATACACCCTCCAACCCCCATTAAAAAAGGGTGTATCTCACTTTCTGAGGAGTAACCAATGTATAAATATATATAAAAACATCAATATTTATGATAATGAATAAATATTATTAGGTTAATCATGTAATTTATTTTTATAGTAATTTTGTTTATATTAGAGATATAAATATTACTACTATTTTTTATAAATCTAAAAGAATTAAAATCAATTGGCTTTTCCAAAAAGCGAGATGTGTGTGCACCGCTCTTTTTGGACGGAGGAGATTACCAACATGACAGTGACAACATGATTAAAAATCAGAGTAGATGTACCCGAAACTGTAAACTAAACTTGACACGCTCCGAGCGTTCAGTCGTCTCCATGACCACAGGCAGCTTCCACGAAACCTGTTGCTGGGAGTTGGTGATCACCTCCATAAAGTGATCACCTCCACGGCGAGAACGAAGGCGATCTAGACGAAGCCCCAGCTGGCAGCAAGCAAGGCATATGGCGGGCGGCATCGTGAAGGTGTACGGCTCGGCGGTGTCACCGTACGTGGCGACGGTGCTGGTGTGCCTGGAGGAGGCCGGCGCCGCGTACGAGCTCGTCCCCGTCGACATGGCGGCGCGCGAGAACAAGGCGCCGCACCACCTCGCCCGTAACGTACGTACGCCGAAACGGAACCATCTCTCTCGCTCATCAAATCATCACCTTTCAAATCTATTTGTTCATCCTCTCTAGCAAATCATATGCATATATGTATAAATCCATCTCGCAGCCGTTCGGCAAGATCCCTGCCTTCCAGGACGGAGAACTCATGCTATTTGGTACTCTCCCTCCTCTGTCCACGAGAAATGCAATTTTACATTTAAAGCAAGTCAAATTGAATTTGAATAAATTTATATAAAGTAGTATATGTACATTTAAACCAAGAACTATTTTGTCTTTTTGCTAGAATCACGTGCGATTTCAAGGCACGTGCTCCGAAAGTACAAGAGAAGCGGCGACCTGCTGAGGGAAGGCGACCCCGAGGCGGCCGCCATGGTGGACGTATGGCTGGAGGTGGAGGCGCACCAGTACGAGCCAGCCATCGTGGAGATCGTGCGGCACTGCGTGATCCTGCCGATGATCGGCGCCGGCGGCGCGCGCGACCAGCGCGTGGTCGACGAGAGCGCCGGGAAGCTGCGGGCGGTGCTGGCGGCGTACGAGGCGCGGCTGCGCGAGCACGAGTACCTGGCCGGCGGGGACGCCGGCGTCAGCCTCGCCGACCTCGCGCACTTCGGGTTCACGCACTACCTCATGGCCACCGAGTACGCCGCGCTGGTGGAGGAGCGCCCCGCCGTCAGCGCGTGGTGGCGGAGGATCGCGGCTAGGCCGGCGGCCAGGAAGGTCGCCGCGCTCATGTCGTGGCCACCACCGCCTAATTGAGCCCGTGTCTGACCGACAAGTGGGCCCATATTTTCAGACACAAATCATTGTAAACCGGACACTTGTTCGGCCCTCCCTGTTTCATGCAAACTCCTCGCCGACTTCTTTCTTCTCCGTGCAAATTCATCCATTTCTCTCTTAATCTTAATACAAGATTGCAACATTGATAAGAAAACAAACAAATCAAAGCAACTCAGAGAATAAGGATAGATGAAGAAGGCACCATCGTCTCCTCTGGCCGTCGTCACCATGGCGGTGGTGGCCGTCGCGTGGGCCTCCTCCACCGGCCTACGCGCGGCGGAGGCGACAATCGAGAGCACGTGCGCGGCGGCCGCGGCGCGGGACCGGCGCGTGGACGCGCTGTTCTGCGCGCAGCAGTTTCTGACGTACCACGGCGCGGCGGAGGCGGACCTGTGGGGGCTGGCGCGGACGGCGGCGCTGATCGGCGTCAGCCTCGGCGACGACGCCGTGTTCGACGTCCACGAGGGCACGATCCCGGACCCGCCGGCCGGCGGCGCCATGGGGAAGGCGGCCATGGGCGAGTGCGCGCAGGCCTACGACGCCGTGGGCATGGCCTTCGCCGAGGCCGCCGACGAGCTCGGCGCGCGGCTGTTCGAGCGCGCCCAGGAGAGGTTCGACCGCGTGGCTCCGCTCGTGCGCCGGTGTGACGCCGCGCTCGCGGTGGCCGGTGCCAGGACGCCGCCCGTGGTAGCGAGGTATGGTGCCGACTGCCAGCAGATGGCCGTCATCGGTGCCGCCATCACCAACCTCATCAAGTGATCCAACACCTCCCGTGTCCGTGGCTCTGTACCTTTTCTAGTAGAGATGCTAATTTTGCTTCTCTTGACTAGTTAGAACTTAGAAGTCGATTATTAACGCATTGCTCTTTTGGAACCTGAATAAAGAAAGGGTGCATGTCCATCGATTTTCACCCATAAATATTTGTCCATGTACCATGTCGATTGAGCTTGTTTGGCTGCTTGTAGAAACAATTGCAGCTTGCTGTTTGTACAGTGATTTTGTGAGAGACATGACAGCTGCTGTTGCTGCAAAAAACAGCTACGGCAACTTATGCAGAAAACAGGAGAAGACAGAAACATATGGGGGCATATATATACCATATCATCATTGCACCAATGCTATGGAATTTCATTCAAAATGCGATTTTTTTTCTCTTTGTTCGTTCGGCAAGTCTCTTGCCAACTTTTTGCAAGGGAGATTTACAATTTTGTGGATCATCACCGCCCCATATCTTTTTCTTTCAGAAATTGTGTGGTGCGGGCATCCGACCGTCTACACGCCGCGCGTCCTGCGCCTGCGCGCTACCAGCCTATCAGCTCCCCTATACCTTCCTTCACGGCTTTTCCAAAAAACAGCAACATTTCCCAACTCGCACAGCCATCGCGGCGTTCTCCATCGCTCGCCTGCTGCTCGCCTTCTCCAACGCGGTTGCCACTAGCTGCGGCCTTCTCCAGTGCGGGGGCGCCTCGCCGTTGTCACCTTCCACTGCGGGTGCCGTTCGCCGGGGGCGCCGCCACTCACCAGGGGCTGCGCAGCCCCGCCGGTCCACTGCCATCCTCCTTCTTTACCGTGACCTAGCGTTGGATCTCGATGTGCAGTGCTCCGCCCGTCCGTCTGCTAGGTTTTGCTAAAAGCGCATGTTGCAAGCGTATGTTTCGAGTATTTCAGATATTTTAGAGGTATGTTACAAGTGTTTTGTATGGATGTTGCAAAGTAGATCGGGATGTTGCATATGTTGCAATGGTTGTACACGTTTGTTGTAAACTTCTGTTCCAAATGTTTCATCTATTTTTCAGACGTATTTTGCAAGTGTGTTTATCTAGATGTTGCATATGTTTCACACACATGTTGCAAGTGTTTTATCTGGACGTTGCCTATGTTTTTAGGTGTTTTTGCAAGTGCTTCAGACACATGTCTTAAGTGTTTCACCTGTCTCCAGACGTATGTTGCAAGTATTGCATCTGAATGTTTCAAAAGTAGATCGGGTGTCCCACCTGCTGCAGCCCCTGTTCCTGTTGGGGCGCCGCCGTGGGTCACCGTGCGGGTGCCTGAGGCAAGCAGACGCCTCCGCGGCGCGCATCCGCAGGCGGGGTGAGGCGGGCACGCTCCTGTCTGTTTCGGTGCTGCGGGGTTACAGGGACTGGCAGGGCGCGCTTCTGTTATGTGAGGACAGGACTGGAGGGGACGCAATGGATGCGCTCGAACGGGAGGAGCGTCCGGAGACCTCCTGCGGCCAGACGTCCGGACGCTAGCCCTTCCATATTTCTTTTGATTACCTCTAACAACATCCAGCACAACGTCATTTTATACCTACGACGGCAGTGGTGGGGTGAGTTGAATTGTCTACGGCGTGTGCTGATGTCCTATTCCAGTTCGTGTTTGTTGGTTGTTTTCGTTTTCATTGGTTTGTTTGCTTCAGTTGTGTTGTTGCTGGACCCTTTGACGTCTTCGTGTTTCGTTGTATTATTATTCAGTTTGAATTTCTTCTTTTAATATAGCCGATAGCTCTTCGTTTCCTTGCGGACATATTTTTTACAAGAAAATGAACAGATTGAACTCATTCTACAAGACAGAACAGAAGAAGCTCTGTTGGCTTGAGCTTGTTTGGTTGATAAGCTATATCTGAAAGTACTGTTGGCTGATTTGCAGCCTGTTCGCTTGGTCGTATTTGGTTATAAGTTATGGCTTATCAGTCAACGAATAATATTTTTTTCTCATACCAAATCAGTCAACAGTACTTTCAGCCATGTCTTATAAACTAAATCAGCCCAAAAAACAGAGGCTGATGTGAGAAAAAAATATTATTCGTTGGCTAAAAAAGTACGACTTATAACAAACAAGTCCAAGCGAACATGATGGTCCATGAAAAGTCATCCTGCTTTAACACACACGTTAGTTGCAGAGCGTCAACATTGCAGACTTGAAGTTCATGTTCGCTAAATAACAAAATTATCCCGGATTAGGTACCTATGATGTTGTGTTAGGTAATTAACAAGATAAAGTGCGCTCCTTGGATGCATCCACCAACAATCAGAATGCATCACAGCCATGCAACGAGGTGTGCCGGACATCAATGGCGCCCACCGCCGCGCGTTTCATTCTGGTCGGTTATTGAGCGACGACGACGGCACAGAATCAGAAGCCCATGCCGTCCATGAACCCGTCGTCGTACGCCGCGTCCACCTTGGCGTCGGCGATCATGCCCTGTTCGCTTGGGCTTATTTGGTCGATAAGCTATGGTTTCGAGTACTGTTGGCTGATTTGATGTGAGAGAAAAAACTGTTCGTCAGTTGAAAAGGTACGACTTATAAGCCAAACAAGCCAAGCGAACAGGAGCGCATGTCGCTGATCATCAACCCGCCGAGGAGCCCGAAGCCCGAGCCCCGCCGTCGTGCACATCCCTGCTCCGCCGCCTGATCTCCCGGCCGGTGTGACGCCGTGACCCCCATACCTGTACGGCGTGGCATCATAGCCGTACGCGCCGTACCCGTACTGGTGGTGGTATGGCGGGTACTTGTCGACGAAATTTGGTCGGCAGTCTACCGAGGGGTATACCTACGGTAGTAGATGAATCGGTGAAGGTGCCGTGGTACGAATTAGATGGTAACGGAGACACAATACTCGTGTGGAGCTTGGACATGCACCTGGTGTTGAACAAGGCTTGCTTTATTTGTGCAGGTCCAAAACGAGCACCTTCATCGCAAGGTTGTCATCACCTATGAAGTTCTTAGTTTGGTTATGTGTACACATATTTGAATGTTCTCGGTGGGAGCATGCTAGTTAGCATCAAGTCATGTTTTCACTATGTTTTGACTTTTGAATTGAATGGCTTGACAACATTCTATTCTATTAGGACTTGTACAAGGACGGTGGGAGTATATGCACAGCTCGTTTTAAAAAATCCCATTAAGGGGGAACCCCTCCTGTTTTACGCAGAAAAAAGCAAGGCTCGTATTGCTCATGAAGTACCAGCGCCTGAGGGTGTCTACCCGCCGTCCCCTTCCTCGTACATCGACCTTGGGGGAATCGGCGGAGTCATCCATCTGCGTATTTCCGTAGCTAAGACAATTACTCGTGTTATATATAGTACAATCTTATAACCTGAGTATTTTATCTATATGTGCAGGAGCAAGCTCCCACCAAGAATGACACAACCACAGCAGATAGGCCGGCTAGGCACCGGGGTATCGCCAAGTTGGATCCATCCAGAGAACCTGTGGAGCCATCCCCTTCATGGTACCTCAACCTTGGGGGAATCGGCGGAGTAATCCATCTGCGTATATCCGTAGTTGATTCAATTACTCTGTTATATGTAGAATAATCTTACAGTCTGAGTATTTGATCAATATGTGCAGGAGCAAGCTCCCACCGAGAGTAACACAACCACATCAGATAGGTCTCCTAGGCGCTAGGCTAGGCAAGGGCGAACAAGTTGCGCACCTATAAATAGTTTATCACCGAGTTGGATCCGGTCGGAGAACCCGTGGTGCCATTTGGTGTCATGGCGCCTTACAAGACAGCCATCGGGGTGTTAGTGAAGGACAACATACCCATAAAATACAGGTACTGAAAACAACCGGGCAGCGAATGAGCGGTTCCATCTAGTCTGAAGAATCTTTGCTGGGACAAGCTGAAGGACCTGTTTGTTTTTCGTGATGGGTTTGATGAAGAGGTGGTAAAGGATCGGGCATTCTTTATCATGGGTAACTCATTCAAGTATTTAAGTACTACTTGAACTCCCAATATGTAAGGAAGGGCATCAAGCCATAATGGAGTGAATACCCACATTAGCAAGAGTATTGGAGTGATTTCGTGAGTGGGATGAATTTGATGCGCATGCATCCTCATCTATGATCTCTCCTTCGGCTCAGAGGTTGGCCCCTGAAGCCCTTCAGTCAATTGATAACCTGGCGACCTACTTAGACTGTGCAACAAAGCTTGTCTTAATTGTGTTTCACCTTTTTTTTGTGTTGTAGACAGTAGTGTCATCTTTAGTGGAGCTGACCAATTTGGAGATATTTGGGCTGCAAGAAGATCTTGGCGGTTGGGTTCTGGAGACCATCACCTTATCTAATCAAGGTGCTACAGTCCTGATCTTGGAATGCCGGTTTTATTTTGGACGTCTGTTTGTGTTCTGAAAACTATATATTCGTTGTGGTTGAATTTGGACGTTATGTCCCTATGGTTGAAAACATGTATGTTGCTATCGTTTTGTATGGATATTTGTGCCAGTGGTGTTCTAAAAAATATATATATTGCTGGCGATGCGTAAGCCATGAAATTTTGGTATTATTGGTGCTATAATGTATTACAAACAATAATGATGCACAGTGGTAATGCCGTGGTAATGGACAAAACATTACTGCCGGAACAAACACAATGGCGGCAGTGATGCTGCCCCTCATTAACGTCGGAGGGACACCAGCCGCGTGCGATGACACCTACATCACCGCCAGATGGTACGCTGGACCGGCGTTGATGTTTGCTCCATCACAGACGGATGGTGTGCCGGCCCGACGTCGATAGGTCCATCATCACCGCATGTTGGTACGCTGTCCTGGCGATGATAGGTACACCATCACCGCCGGATGGCGCGCTGGCCCGGCGTCGATGGTTGCATCATCACCGCCGGATGGTACGCCGGCCCGGCTTCGATGGTTGCATCATCACCGCCGGATGGTACACTAGGATGGTGTTGATGGTTACATCAACACCGTCGGTTCGTACGCCGAGCCGACGTCCATGGTTACATCATCACCGCCGGACGGTACGCCGGGCAGCGTCGATGGACGTATCATCACCGCCGGATGGTACGCCGGACCGACGTCGAAGGACGCATTATCACTGCCGGATTATACGCCGGACCGGCGGTGGTAAGACACCATCACCACCGTATGATGCGCCGGACCGACGGTGGTAAAATACCATCACCGCGGGGGCGCAACCAGCGGAGATAAAGTCGTCGATCACCGCCGACATACGCCAACAGGGCTCAAAACCGTGGGTAACAGGGGTTCTAGAGCCGGCGGTGTTTAGCTTTCTGTCCTCCTTTAGCTGTCCACTCGATGACTCCCCTCTCTGCTTTCTAGCTGCCTGAAGTGCTCGGTCATGTAAATTATGGTAGGCTGATTTCACCGAAAAAACTCCTTTCTAAGTCAAAATGCCAAGCAATTACATCTTCTCGGCATCAGCTTCCCAAAAAATGTCTCCGATCATTATACGATCCCAGTCCCCGGTGGTCGGATCAATCAATTCACTGACTCGGGTAACCAAAGTTTGGCTCCTCGGGGTAATCGGCCGTCTCGTGACACCCCTCGGAATCCAAGGATCGAGCCAAATATTGATAGAAGTTCCAGTCACCAACTCGCCAAATTAATCATTCTTTTAAAGCTTTGATTCCCCGTAAAATACTCCTCCACGCATATGAGATTCCACGCAAAAATAATAAAAATTACGAACAATGGCCCTCCTTCCTCCGATCCCCTAGTCACCCTCCTCCGGAGCCCAAACCCAAACCCAAGCCCAGACTGATCAACTCTGCATCCAAATCTAGGTTTTCGATTCCCCTCCACAGGATGTCCGACCCCGCTGCCGGAGGCGGCGGCGCGTGGGCGAACGGCGGCCCCCGCTTCGGCGACATGGTCTGGGCCAAGGTGAAGTCCCACCCGTGGTGGCCGGGCCACATCTACAGCGTCAGCCTCACCGACGACGAGGAGGTACACCGCGGCTACCGCGACGGGCTCGTCCTCGTCGCCTTCTTCGGCGACTCGAGCTACGGGTGGTTCGAGCCCAGCGAGCTCGTCCCCTTCGAGGACCACTTCACCGAGAAGGCGGCCCAGGGCGGCAGCTCCCGCAGCAGCTTCGCCGCCGCCGTGGCCGAGGCCGTCGACGAGGTAGCCCGCCGCAGCGCGCTGGCGCTGCTCTGCCCGTGCAACAACCCCGACGCCTTCCGCCCCCACCCCATCGACGGCAACTTCTTCCTGGTCGATGTCCCGGCATTCGACACCGACGCCGACTACCACCGCGACCAGATTCGGGCCGCGCGGCAGCGATTCGTGCCGCGGAAGGCGCTCGACTACTTGCTGGACGCCGCCGTGACTCAGCAGGACGCGGCAGAAAAAGCCACGCGCACCGTGCCTGGGATGGAGATGGCCGGGCTGTTCACGGCGTACCGCCGCGCAGTGTTTTCGCCGATAGACAACACCTACGCTCAAGCGTTCGGGGTGGATCCCGAGCTGGCCCTTGCTGCCGAGCAGAAAGCCGCGGCAGAGCGAGCTCAACGAGGTATCAACACTCACATGCCCAATTCTTGCTGTGCTATTGACTGCGCTGTTGTTCTTGTTGCTGTGTACTTGAAATTGATGGCTAAACAATGTTACTACTGCTGTTATAGATCAAGCAACAATTATTTTGATGTGAATAGCGGAGTGGATCTGATTCAAATAGTTTCTATTTCTCTCATGTTGAACTGCTTGTTGCATGAAGGATGTTGCATCTTTTTAACAAGGAGAGTGATTATTAAATTCGGGGTGATACTAGTCATGCAGAAATTTGTTGATTAAATGGTAACTTGTACTGCTTCACGGGATTCAATCCAACCTAGTAAAATATGAGACATGCATATCCACAGATCTCGATCTGTATTTGTTCTAGAAATTGGATGCCTGTATGATATTATATCATATAGTGTCTATATGATACTATCCTAATTTGTATGTGAGTTAGGTTCTAGCTGTGTCCTAGAAAAAAATCATCCATGATCTTGTGGGCATGAAGTGTATGAAGCTGTGACTAATTTGCATCATGTAGTTTTAAAGCTGTGACTAGTTAGCATCATGGTGTTATTGGAATCTTGAGATGTTTTACTTCTATGTCCATACACTGCATGTCTAGGAAGTTTTGTGCTGTAGTATATTTAGTTCTTTTGCATTACAACAAGTCAACGACAATTATCATATACTCCCTCCGGTTCTCTAAAACAAGTCGTTTTGGACATCGACACGGTCTTTAAGAAACGACTTTGACTGCAACTTTTTGCTATAAAATATTTATAAAATATAGTCAATATATACTTTTATGAAACTACATTTCGAGATAAATCTACTTACATCACTTTCATATTTTCAAACTCAACCCAAAAGAAGTTATTTGTAGTCAAAGTTTAAAATGTTTGACTTAAGACAACCTCAAAACGACTTGCTTTAGAGAACCGGAGGGAGTATTTGAAATCTGTGGTTCCTTCCTATTCTAGTTTTTGTTGTTGCACTTCAGTTTTCTGTTCATTCCATCCATTGAAGTCAGATCATATTAAATTGTGGGTTCACATATAAAAGCTGCATGTTTGATCAAATTGTTAATTTTGCTTGTCAAGGAGGATGCACCTAGATTAGACAAATTGATTCTTATGCATATAGTCAGTACAGAGCAATGAAATTCATGTTTTGTAAAAGAACTGCAATAAAGTGTGAAACTGATTCTGAATGAACACCCATGTGACTGATTAAATATGGTTGGTGACTCATTGAGATGTGATGATTGATAACTTGGGGGTATTCCTTTCCTGATCATAACATCTTCTGTTCTGGATGCATCATTTGCCTGTTCATCATGGGCAGGAGGCATCGAGGTAAGCTGGTTGAGTCCACATGTACATGGTGAAGGAAGGCACTGCGCTCCACATTGCTCTATTGTGGTGCTTAGTAGTTTTTATTTATTTATAAGCATGTATATATATACACACACACACAATATGTCGAATAGATATGTTAATCTGAGCATTCAGAGTAACTGATTTGATTAGACTGTGCTGGTTAAGTAAAATCCTAACATTTGCAAACGAGGTATCACTTCACAGGTTTTAAGTGAAAGTCCCCGGGGAGAGAGTTTTGCCAAAGTAAAGCAAGTCCTATCAGACTTGCATCCTACGTTGAGACTAAACCCATTACAACTGCGAAAGCCCACCCTCAGCAAGCATATTGTTATAGATGCCATGAGTAACTTGGTGTGCCCAGTCCCGCACATGCCATCTTGGCATAATCTTCCTTTGACCTCTCCTTGATCTTCCATTATGTTACCACACTGTGCGGTTTTGTACATGGCCGGTCATTGTAGTGTTGTTGGAGCGAGAATACTTGCCTCTGAAACCAGAAACAATTGCACACCCATGCCCACAACTCCAGCCTGTTAGGAGTGAGGACCCATTGACAATTGGCTTGCTGTTAACAAAGTGTATTGCTTGTGCCTTCCAGTGATCTAACATTGACATGGAAGATTCCGATGACACTGATTGACCAAGTTTCTGAGCTGCATGAGTTGAGCTTGAGCCTGTTGGACTAGCTACTGGCGTGCGTGCCACGATGGTGCGATGAGAGGCTCTCTGAGCCATATCTTACAGTGTCAGCGTTGTGTTGACGAAGCCACGCTGGGGAAAAAGACTGATGATGGCCATATATATTATACGCTGGTGAAGGACTGTAGGTTTAGCCTAACTTAATTGCTCTTGGGACCTGCTTTGCACAGGACCTGGAGCAGATAACAGGCTCCTTTTTGCAAGCCTATAGATTATACACAGGCAAGCACTGGATTATTTAGAAGGAAACACTAATCCTTGAGCTTAGCCCCGTGGTGGCATCGGAAACAGGAAGCAGTGCAGAATATGATATAGGAGTATTCCCCTTGATGCTGGTGGTCAGCGTAGTAGCTTTTCTGTTCCTTGCCTCCTGCTGCTAGCCGGGCCAGCCACCATGGAGCTAGTCACTGGGCCCAGGAGAGCAGCGTGGTTCAGCCCGTTCTGGCCTAGGACCAAACCAACCATCCCAAATATTAGTAGATGCTCCCTCTCATAAAAAAATAGGAGTTGCTGCAATTTCAATTCTATTTTTTATATATAAATAAATAGACAAAGAATAGGAGGAAGAAAAAGTCATGGCACCTGATTCATGAATAGATGTCGTCTTAGTGAGGGGTGGCTGTGACCGTGTGTGAGGTGCCTAATCCATGCATCAGAGGCGTGTCTGGTGCTGGTGCATATGCACGTTTCTTCACTGGAATGGAAGACGAAGCTAGTGCCAGGGCAAGGCAGTTTTTCCTTTGCCAGAGGTGAAAGCAACGGCGCAGGCAGCGAGCCATCCGCATCCACCACCACGCCTAGCCTCTCGGCTAGAGTGCCACGGCCTGCGGGCTGGGCTGCTGGCTGCCGCCACGTCTACAGAGATTAGCGTCGCCGAGCGCATATGCAGCCGCTAGCTTCTCCATCACACAAGGAAATTAACGTTTCCCAAGCAATTACGGCTAAACTAAACTTGGCTTTTGAGCCTTTGATTGATGCATGTCCTGGCCATCACTGGTCGATTCGGTCCTTGCGTGTATAACAAAAGCCGACTTCGAATCCATCACTAGTAGTAAGATCTAGGAGTGGCCATGTTGCCGTCTAGCCACTCCGACAGCAAGTCTGAACCATCACACACCCACACACACATAACGCTAAAAAAGTCATTGTGTTTACAAGAAATACTTGGGCATAATTACTTTCTTTATACTGTCGTGGCATTATTTTATTTCATCATTGTACATAGAAATTAGTAGTTTTTTTTATCATTTATGAAGCATTCACGTTTGGACTGGTAGTAGCCACCACTCGGTCTTTCCGCCTTCCGTTGACTGCAATGTTGTGTGTACCTGCTCTGTTTTCCTGCTGCTGAGCTGACTGAAGATAGTGGGACTGACTGACTGACATGGCCCACATGGATGCCTTGCAGCGCGGCCGCTCAAAGGGGGACTCAGGAAGACGGCGGCGGAGCAGGCCACGCCGGCGGGCGGCGGCCGCCGGAGGGGCGGCGCGGGCGGGGCCGCCGCGAGGCTCATGGAGAAGATCGTCCCGGGCGCGTCCGCCATGAAGGCCAAGTCCAGCAGCAAGAAGGACCAGTACCTGCTCAAGCGCCGGGACGCGCCCGAGGCCACCTCCTCCGCCCACCACCGCCAGCCGCAGCTCCCGGACGCGCCACCGCCCGCGCCTGTGCCCGTGCCGGACGACGGGCCGCCTGGCTTCCCGGCCAGCGGCGACCCGCCCACGCCGCCGCTGCCTGGGAGCTCCATCGCGGACGAGGACTTCATGATGCTGCAGAGGCGCGCCCCGCTCGTCGAGGTCCCTCCTCCCGCCGCCCACCAGGCCCAGCCGACCGAGGGGCCCACCGCAGCCGCGCCCAAGAAGGCGACCAAGCCCAAGAAGCCCCGCAAGCGCGAGCCGGAGGAAGGCGCCGATGCCGATGTCGATGCCAGCCCCGATGCAGTGGACGCCGCCGGCGAGCCCAAGAAGAGGAAGAAAAAGAAGAAGCTTTCCGACCTGGACGGCGCCGGCAAGACCGCCGCAGTGGTTCAGGACCCCAACGGGCTTGACCTGACGCAGGTACTATCAGACATCCGGAACCTCCCGCTGGCTCCCTTCCATGGCGCCGACCGCCGCATCTCTGACACCGCTCGCTCCTTCGTCCTCGCGTTCCGCTCAAAATACTACAAGAAGAGCTACGAGAACGACCCACCGGAGGAGTCGAAGAAGATGAGCCTGGATAAGCCTACTGCCGCCGCGGCCGCTGACGGCCAGTCGCCCAAGAAGAAGAAGCCCGCTGCACCGAGGCCTGGCGCAGGCAATAATGACCCCACCAAAGCCGGCGTGAAGCGCGGGCCATCGGACCGCCAGGGGGAGCTGGCCGTGAAGAAGAAAGCCAAGCTCGAGAAGATCAAGACACTGTCCAGTGAGAAGAAGGCCGCCGGTCTGGAGCAGAAAAACACAGCGGCGGCGCAACAGCAGGCAGCACGGGCTGCAGGCGGCAAGGACGGCAAGGCTGAGATGGGTGGTGGTGCGGCGGCCAAGAAGAAGGAGCCGGCGCCGGCACCCAGGGTCCGTACCCCGTCGCCGACGGCGCTGATGATGAAGTTCCCGCTGAAGAGCACGCTGCCGTCGGTGGCGTCGCTCAAGGCACGGTTCGCGCGGTTCGGCCCGCTGGACGTGGACGGCATCCGCGTGTACTGGAAGTCCCACATGTGCCGCGTCATCTACAGGTTCAAGGCCGACGCGGAGGCCGCGCTCAGGTACGCCAAGGCCAACGCCATGTTCGGGCAGGTGGACACGCAGTACCACCTCCGCGAGGTCGAGTCAGGGGCCGGCCGCGACCCGCCGCTGGCGGCGCCGGCGCCGGAAGCGCCGCCCCCGCAGCAGCAGCAGCGCTCCGAGCTGCGGCTCATGGAGACGGCATCGTTCAGGCCCGGAAGCTCCGGGAACGGCGCCCCGCTGCCCATGTCCAGGGCCGCCGGGGCCGTGCCGGCGCGTCCGGCCGTGGGGCAGCAGCAGCAGCCCAAGTCGATCCTGAAGAAGAGCACCGATGAAGGAAACTCTGGGACCACAAGGGAGGTCTCCCGTGTGAAGTTCATGCTGGACGGCGCGGACGGCGGCAAGCTCGAGCCGCCCGCGCCGCCGGCGAGCGTTGGCGGCAATGGCGCGGACAGCGGCATCAAGGCTGCCAAATCCGTGGGGTTCGCTTCTTCCCAGCCTCTGCAGCCGCCCATGCGCCCGGCGCTGCTGCAGCAGCAGCAGGCTCCACGCGCCGCCGTCACGCAGCAGCTCCCGCCCCCGCCGCCTCTGTCGCTGCAGCAACATCTCCCGTACCACCAGCCTCGCGTCGCCGACGGGCCTCCACTGGTGTCTCCCCAAGGTCAGCTGCTGGCATACCCGCCACCTCGCGTCCACGGCGAGGGCCCCTCCGCGCTCCCTGGGCAACCGCTGCCGTACCAGCCTCGCCCCACCGGCTTCCCTGGTGGACAGCAGCAGCAGCAGGTGGGGTACCCGCCTCGCTCCGGCGACAGCCCGCCGCTCCTCGCCGGACAGCAGCAGCAGCAGCAGTTCCCGCCTCGCCCCAGCAACGCGAACGCCGCCGAGGAGGTCCCGGCGTGGAAGAGGGGGGAGAAGGAGTTCAAGGAGGAGGTGTGGAGGCTGATGACGGGGATCGCCAAGATGGTGGAGCCGCTGACCGACAAGAACGGCTTCTTCCCCTACCACCTGTTCCGAGCACAGTGAGCATGCGTGGCGTCCGTCCGTCCTCGGTGGGGTCGCGGCAGCTGGATGGTCATGGTCAGCTGCCGCGTTGTATCCGTCGGGCCCCTGGGCCAGTAGCAACCGGGACTTCGCCGGAGAGGGACAGAGATATTGAAAGGCTGGCAGGTGCCTGTTCTGTTCCTGTGGTAGTTTATGACTCTGGTTTATCCGTTTATGCGGGTGTGTGTATGCACTCCGTCGTCTAGACCCTGGATAGTAGACTATAACAATGTGATGTTGTAGTGCTTGTTTTGTTTTAAATCCTCCCATTTTGCAGTTAATAACTGTAGGTTTTATCATTTTCGCAATCGCAAACTCTTATTCGCGATCGGTCAAGCGCTTGTGCAACCGCGCAACACCGCTTCTTCAGCCGTCCATTGCCACACCTTCCCTGGAGTTAGAGGGTGCTTTCTCCCTGACTTTTTGGCACTAGGTGTATTACCCTAAATTTTATAAAATTACTACTTTTTCTTTGATTTTCAATAATTTTGTGTCTTAGTAGAAATTAGGTGTAGAATTGGTAGTCTTTGGTGGGGGTTCTTGCCGGGGTGTTAAATTTAGTACACAACCCAACCCCCAATATAAGAACAAAAAGACCATCCCCACAACAAAGACCGTCTCATCCAAACCACTCGTTTAATTGACCCTAAAGCTATTACAGTAGACTAACCCAACCATTGTTGGTAATGAGGAGCAAAGAGCCAATGGTCGCGGTGTGTGGAGGTGGCAGTTAGGCAGGTGTGGCTCGTTGGCGACGACGGGTTAGTAGAGGGCGGGTTCGACTAGCAGGCGGTGTGGCAAGGCGGCGCGTCGTCGATAGCCACGGTCGGTGGTGGACGAGGTGGTATGCTCTTGTGACCGTGCGACTGGTCGAGCGATAACTCTACCCTTTCACAAAATCGGAAGGGTGCTGGAGTAGCACTCAAAACTCATTTAAGGAAGAAATAAGAGAGTATAGTCTTCTTCTCTTAGGTCGGGTCTTTTTCCCCACTACATATGGATTAGGAAGCGAAGCAAAATAATTTATCCCTCAATCCACAAACAAAGCCCGGAGATGACTGAATCCAAGCGTAAATTATGTATAGAGTGTTCTTGTGTCTTCCTCCAATCCAAACGTTCCGACATGGTGATCGCCATTACCGGTTTTAGTTGTAGCACGAGTCGCTGCGTACATGAGACCTTCTAACATTTCAATCATAATAACCCTTGCTCTGTCACTTTCATCACCAGCCACGTGCCAGTGACACTGATAACCTAAGTTAGAGGAATTGATTGTCACCACCACACCCTTGCAAGTTTGGCATAGGGATTTAAGGATTTTAACAAGCTCTCTCTCGCCACATCCCACATTGAGGTCCTTTTTTGAATTCCACAAAATGCTTTTTTTTTTTTGAAAAGAAAACTCTTAGTGGAGACTATGTTTTGGAACACATGATGCCTTTTTGAATTCCTTTGTTTTGGAACACATGATGCCTTTGTTTTTTAATTCCACAAAATGCCTTTTTCACAACAAACAAGTGCCTCATCTGTGCCAAACCAATCAAATGGTCGGCATCTTATTCTTTTAGTAGCGGAAAATGATGGAATGCTACTGGTATCCGTGTTCACATTTCTTCAACTACAATAATACTATAATAGGCACATTTAATAAATATGTAAATATACAAACTAACATTATCCTATAATAAATCTGCCACTGAAGCAAACAAAAATCCATATACTCCATTGAGGTCCCGTTTTGGAACGCATGATTGAAGAAATACAAGAACAAAAAAAAAACATGAATAGAATAGGAATACATATGCAAAACTGAATTTTGTAGGGGTAAATGTTTGGATAAACTGTAGTCAAAACACATGAAACAAACAATGAGGTTAGACTAGATGTTTTTTCCTTGGTTTTTCTCCGAAATCAAACATAAAGGAAATTCTCCTATGTTCTTCCGGCAAGGGATTTCTACGAAAAATGAAGGATACTACAATCACTCAATCTATAGGGACTTGGGTTATAAATTTTTTTCCCGTGATCCAAAGGGGACTAGGATTGTAAGATGCCTAGAAAGACAAGGACAATAGTAGATATTTGTTGATTTCAACTCCAAATTATTGGGTCCAGCGAAAGAAAGCTAATAGTACTAGTATTATAAGGGCACGTACAACCAAGTCAGGAACCAAAGAAAACACGCATAGCACAAAACTCTACAATCTCTTGCCTCTCCTTCTAGTTCCAGATGAACGTCGTTGCTTCTCCGTTGGCGAGCACGGGCGCGAAGACTGCTCGAGGGCTTATCCATCGTCAGCTCAGATGCAAGACAAGGCAATGCGTGTGCTCAAGCGCCCGACCATGGCGGCGCAGGTGAGCTCTAGCGCCCGGCCACGGTGGCGAGCCCCATCCATGGAGAGTGAGCTCCCAGCGGCCCTGGAGGAGCTCCTCCATCGAAGGAGCGCGGGTGTGGGCCGTGTGGCGGCATTGGGAGGGGCGTTGTTGTTCTGTCCTCTACTTGATGGAAAGGCCCTCTACTAGAGGAAGAAGAAGAACGTGTACGAGTGGCTGACAACGTGGGCTCCACGATGACAGTTGGGCCCCATGATGACCAGCTCTACTAGCAATGTTGAAAAGGTCATGCATCCCAATCTATTCAATCCCTTGCACCAAACAAGAAATTGGAACTAACTCTATCCCATAACGAAACACAAATGGGTACAGCTCAACCACAAAAACTGGGACAGGTCTAATCCAACCCATATCATTCCGAAATCAAACATATGCTAAAAATTTCTTACTGCCTCTTTAGGGTGGATTGTATATGCCCTAACCAGGCTATAACAAATTTAGAGCATATATATAGTTCGACCTTGGTTTACGAAATTATAATCAAGGAATTCTATGACTGTTCGCTTGAGCTACTTTTCAGCCATGGAACAGTGTTTTCTCCTACAATATTTTAGCATAAGCATCAGCATAAACTAAATTTCAGCACAAGCGAACTCAAACAGCACTAAAAGAATCCAATTATGGATGTGCCGTTCAACATGAGGGACAAGAGTAGTATTACAAGGTTATCATTTTCACAACCACCAATTGCCTCATCTGTACCAAACCAATCAAATGGTCGGCATCTTATATAGTACCGAAAAAATGGTGGAATGATACTAGAGTGTTCACATTGACTATTCTTCAACTAGCAATAATAGGCACATTTAAATATGTAAATATACAAGCACACATTAACCATAAATAAATCTGCTGGTCAAGAAACAAAATGCAACATACTCCATTAAGATTGTAATTTGGCTAGAAAGACAAGGACAGTAGTAGATATTTGTTGATTTCAACTTCAAATTACGAACAATAATATTATTATAACTAGTTAGAACAAATTTAGAGCGCATATGACGACCTTGGCTTACAAAATCATAATCAAGGAATTTTGTGACAATATTTTCTCAAACAGCTAAAAGAATCCAATATATGGATATGCCACTCAACACGAGTAACGAGAGTAGTATTACAAAAGGTAGTCATTTTCACGCACTTACAACACCATTGATTGTCACATTAAAACAACTCAAATAACAACCGAAATAAAAATCATTTCAAGGCCATACTCAACGAACAAATAACACTAGTAATTGTGTTTTAGTGTCGTTAACGACTAACATATACTAGCAAGTTTTAAGCCGCCGGAGATGATTTTGGCGCCGCCGCCTTGACGGCTTCGAACCTGGGCTCCTTGGCCTGGAACTTCTGCTTGGCATACACGTCCATGTAGTCCCCGAACACGTACTTGGGGTACGCCTCGCCGCCGCTGGTGGCCACCGCCGCCGGCGAGATGGTGGCCTCGTTGGCCGGGTTGTAGAAGGAGGCGATGGAGCGGCGGTTGCCGTCGCGCATGGGCAGCACGCGGTGCCACGCGCTGCGGTAGCGGCCGTTACTGAGCACCTCGATCTGGTCGCCGGTGTTGACAACGATGGCGCCCGCGAGCGGCTGCACGTCGGTCCACTGGCCGTCCTTGAGCACCTCCAGGCCGCCGACCTTGTCGTCCTGGAACAGGAGGATGACGCCGCCGGCGTCGGTGTGCGCGCGCAGGCCCGTGATGAGGTCCGGGCGCGGGCACGGCGGGTAGTGGCTGACCTTGGTGCCGAAGAAGGGCTCGTGCTGGCCGTCACCGGAAAAGGCGGCCTTGACGGTGCCCCTGTCGAGGCCGAGGTTCTCGTCCATGGCCTCCATGACGCGCTCGGCCAGCTTCCGAAGCTCGGCGCGGTACTCGCGCATGGTCTCCTTGAATGCCGGCGGGTCGGACGGCCACTGGCAGCCGTCGTGGATGTAGAAGATGTCCTCCCAGTCCAGGTCGTCCACGGGCGCCACCTCCTCCCCGCGCCGCTCCGCGTCGACGAGCGCCTCCAGCGTGCGCACCGGCTCCGACGCCCTGAACCCGGCCTCCCGGAGGCGGTAGCAGTCGGAGCACACCTTCTTGACGCGCTCCAGAAGCTCCAGCGGGATGCCGTGGTTCACGAGCTGGAAGAACCCCCACTCCTCGCAGCCATTGGCGATCTGCGCCAGCGTCTCCGCCCTCTCGGCGCCGTCCAGCTTGGAGAAGTCGATCACGGGAACCACCATGGCTGATGAATGAAATGAGCAGAAGAGAAAAGAAGACGACGACTATATATGTTCTCGATCTCTGTCCGGATCGGATCGAGAAAGCCTGCTCTGAAGTAGATCTTTAGGTGTTGCAACAACTATATATACCTTCAATTCAGTGAAAGCTGGTTTGCATGCAGATCGTTGATCGGATGGCTTGAGCTCGGAGGCCATGGCTGTGGTTTTATAGGGTACCAAGTGTGCAAGTTTGAGCATGACTTATCTCTTGTCTGTCGTCTGGTAGGAGTACGACTAGACTCTCCCTATAGGCAAATATAAATATATATGACCTGACTTGGAAAATGTTGCTCTATAGATGCAGAACTCAGTTTTCTCTGTAT